CTCGCGTGGGGAGAAGGCGTGCTGCTCACTCTTTGTCGCTCAAACGTGTGTGCGGCTGGGTAGATGTCATCGGATGCATTGAATGACTCGATTGACTCGGTTGATCGTCACAGTGGCGCCGTCATTGCTGCGCGAGTGACAGAATGCTCTTCCGTTTACATTGTGATTCTCTCGTCGGAAATCATCATCGAAAATGGTTCATCTCGGTGGATGACCATCAAAATGTCTGTATTTCTCCGTTCATCGACTGTTTCATCGGTCCGCTCTTTCACAGAGTGGTGCTTCATTTTCTGGCTGTCATTTTGAGCCATGAATGGTCGGCCCGAATGGCTGATTTCAGTCTCTTTGGGAGGTGATTGGTTTATGCGATGCATTTTGACTGTGTACAGAGTGATCGGGGCGGGGTGATTGCTTTACAGAAATGATTGGTTTATGCGGTGATTGCTTTAAGCGATACTTACTGTAGCAACACGCAACGAGGGCCCCAGCGCCCTCTATCGACGTGACCCGACCGGCGCAGCGCCATCCGGACGCATTCCATCGATGCAAGCCTTCTGACTGCAGGGACCCAACAATGCCGCACACTCAGGGCCGTGCGCTCAGCTTTGGCTCACAAATCGCGCCTATTGCAACGTAATGTCCAACTCACAGCAGACACCGACGCACATCATTGCGGCCGGTCACATCATTGTGTAGTTGGTGTGAATGACCGGCTGTGTGAATGCGTGGAGGCATCAAGGGGAGACACGCCAAGAAGATTGGCCTGAACCAGTCAGTCAGTCACTCATTCACGAAAAGCATGTGTCAGTCTGGGTATCGACAAAAATGCAACCACAAACGTCAACCGCATGGAACCACACGGGAGGAACCGCCGAAAAAAGCAGGCGAGGCCACACTCTCGCACACCTCAATCCTCCCCCTCGTAGCTCAGGTGTGTCCCAGCTCCCCGCCCCCTCCCTGTCCCCCGGCCCCTCGCACTGGCAGCATCGCCATTAGTGATCAGCCCATCAGGGGGTGCTGGAGCAATCTCTAACACGCTGTCAGTCGCTGCACCATTCTGAGGGTTATCTTGTTCTGCTGCTGGGGGGCGGGGAGCCTCATTGGTTGCATCTGGAAGCTCGCCTCTGAGGATAGGCAGAGAAAGGGTCACTCATTCTCCTTTCTTGCATCAACCACACCACGTCCGTACCTTTCTGCGTAGGCGATAAATGCCGTGTGCCTGACGCTCTTCGCCAAATCGACAGCAGTGCGGCCCTCCTGAACGAGCAACAACACACCACACACGACATACATACATATCGCTCGGACATGCCATCCATCTCACGGCCATTCTCACATCGTCGGTAGCCTCCATGTCCGCTCCGGCCTCGCACAGCGCACGGGCAACCAATACCCGCTTCTTGTCTCTCCTGTTTCCCGCCGCAGCCACAGAGTGCAGCGGTGTCTGGCCCTTGACATCTCTCGCTGTCGGGTCGGCACCGAGGCGAAGCAGCAGCTCCACAGTGGGCAGATGGCCGTGCGTGGCTGCCGCATGGAGGGGCGTGACGTACTGGTCGCAGTCGGGCTTGTTGACGGCTGACATGTCCTTGGGGCCCAGCAAGGCGACGGTGTCGTAGTTGCCCGTCTGACACGCTTGGAGCAGGGGGGTGCGGCCGCTCTGCACGCACGATACATGAACACACGAGATATGAAACGCAGCCTTTGTTCTAGGGGCGTGCGCTCTCTGCCGGCTTGCCTTACCAGATCGGTTGCTGACACACTACCACCCGTGCTAAGCAGCAAGTCACACACCTGTGCAGCCCAGCAAATGACGACATCCATCCATCGCTGCCTCCTTTGTGCCTTCACGTACCTCCGGAGTGCCGGACGATGCCGCCAAATGGAGAGGCTGCGCCCCCCAGTTGTTTTCCTGGCTGACCTGCTTGGCGTGGGAACAGCGCAGCCAACATGTCCGTGCCATTGCACGCGTCCCCTCTCGCTTACCTCTGCCCCTGCGTCGATGAGCTCTTTCACCACATCCCTCTGCCCGTTTGCCGCCGCCACGTGCAGGGGCGTGAACCCCAGCTAACCGAAAACAGAGAAGGATTGGCCTGCCTGCCTGCCCTACAGCCTACAGTGAATGGCTAACCTTGTCCGTGGCTGCCACATCTGCCCCCTTGCCGATAAGCATCGTGGCGATGTCCACCTTGCCGCGCGACGAGGCCAACGCCAGCAGAGTCGAACCGCTCTGATTCATATGCACCCACAAGCACACCCATGGGCTGGATGGGTAAGGTCTGCGTGCCTTCCCTCACCGGATCTCGCGTGTCCACATCGAACGCATTGCGCTCCACCGCCTCTGCAATTGTTTGCAGATCCTCAGCTGTGGCCTCTTCCTCAGAGTCCGCCACTGACAAAGCCCGCCGGAACTGAAAGGGAAATGAATCGAAAGGCAACGTCACGCTGCATGCCACTGTCTGTTGTTTCGCGATTTCACCTCTTCCGGAAGGCTCTGTGTGAGTGCCTCCTTGCGCTTCGCCTCAACAATGGTGAATACCTACAGGCAGCGAGTCACCAACACCCACTCAGATCGGCTGCTTCTAACGCATCTTCACCACCTTACGCTCCTCTCAGATGACGCCATCGCCATGATGATGCTCCTTCGGCAAATAATCAAATCTGATGGATATATTGTGTTTGACGCGCGATTCGTCACTAACTCCATCCGAGGGATTCTCCCTGCCCCCCTTTGGCCTGCAGCCGTGTGTCGCAGCTTCTCTTGAAACCCCCTTTTGGGCTACTGCCGTGTGTCGCAAAAATCCTACTTCAAATCGCTGGTGTCTCTGGCGGGCATGAAGGCTATATAGGCTGCAGCGATGAGGGAGAGGGCCGGAATGGCCCGCGCGCCCCGTTGAATTCTGCGAGCTCGCGAGAAAAGAGCTCCTGATCCCCTCTTCTTGCCTGCTGCCGTGTGTCGCAAAAAATACTTCAAACTGCTGGTGACTCTGGCGTGCATGAAGGTTCTGTTGGCTGCAGCGATGAGGGAGAGGCAGGGGGGAGGGGTGGGCCTCACTTTGAAAAAATGGGGGGGATATTGTGTTTCACGCGCGATTCGTTACTAACTCCATCCCGAGGCATTCTCGCCCCTCCTCCTTTGGCCTGCAGCCGTGTGTCTCCGCACCTCTCCTTCCTACGTGTGATCTGCTGCCGTGTGTCGCAAAATCTACTTCAAATCGCTGGTGTCTCTGGCGTGCATGAAGGTTCTGTTGGCTCCAGCGATGAGGGAGAGGCAGGAGGGAGGGGTGGGCCTCACTTTGAAAAAATGGGGGGGATATTGTGTTTCACGCGCGATTCGTTACTAACTCCATCCCGAAGCATTCTCGCCCCTCCCCCTTTGGCCTGCAGCCGTGTGTCTCCGCACCTCTCCTCCTTACGTGTGATCTGCTGCCGTGTGTCGCAAAAATCCTACTTCAAATCGCTGGTGTCTCTGGCGTGCATGAAGGTTCTGTTGGCTCCAGCGATGAGGGAGAGGCAGGGGGAAGGGGTGGGCCTCACTTTGAAAAAATGGGGGGGATATTGTGTTTCACGCGCGATTCGTTACTAACTCCATCCCGAGGCATTCTCGCCCCTCCCCCTTTGGCCTGCAGCCGTGTGTCTCCGCACCTCTCCTCCCCACGTGTGATCTGCTGCCGTGTGTCGCAAAAATTTACTTCAAATCGCTGGTGTCTCTGGCGTGCATGAAGGCTATTAGGCTGCAACGATGAGGGGGAGGCATGGGGGGAAGACCGGAATGCCCCCCTCATGCGAGCTTCAAGCTTGCAACTTCCTCTCCCCCGACCTTTTGGCTTGCTGCCGTGTGTCGCAAAAAATTTGTTTCAAACTGCTGGTCTCTGGTGGGCATGAAGGCTATTGGGTTGCAACGATGAGGGGAAGGCATGGGGGGAAGACCGGAATGGCCCCTCCCATGCGAGCTTGCGAGCTTGCGAGCTTGCAACTTCCTCCCCCCGCACCTTTTGGCCTGCTGCCGTGTGTCGCAAAAATTTCCTTCACACTGCTGGTGTCTCTAGCGGGCATGAAGGCTATTGGGTTGCAACGATGAGGGGGAGGCATGGGGGGAGGGCTCCTCTCCCCATGTGTCGCATCGGAGAGGTGGACACTTCACAGGCTCCAGTGATGAGGAAGGTTCAAGCCTTGCAATGCATCATATATCGTCTCATCCCACTCAAGTCTGTCAAAACCTGGCCCGCCTATCGCAGGCTACCTGGCGAAAGCGACATGGTGCCCATCCTTGATCCCATCATGGAGACAGAAATCAAAGACAACACGCGTGGCCTTACACCTCAGCCAGTTTGCAAGTGAGCAACTAAGATGCTCACAATCGCTCCTGCTCTGCTGCCTGGTCGCAGGTGTGTGATTGTCGTAGGTGTGAGAAAAACCAGCGGACAAAAAAACAGCCATATGAATGCATACGTACATATACGTATATGTCTGTGTGTGTCTGTGTGTGTCTGTGTGTGTCTGTGTGTGTCTGTGTGTGTCAAAAAAAGACAGACATGATGGCGTGCGTCGATGGATCGTTGGATACATGCCATGCATGATCACGATCGATGGAAAAAACGATACAGAAGAGAAAGACAACGCATGGATGGATGCCTTCGTCAGACAACTGCCCGCCTGAGTGATCTCGCTCACTCTCTCCCTCACAAAGACAAGTATGGACGCATGCACACACATACATGGATTGACATAAAAGTCCTCCATGGAAAGTGGTGGCGGTCTGTCTGTTTGGTCGGGCGCACCCTTGTTTTCGACCCACTGCAACGTCGCGAGACGCCCATCTGCTGCACTGCAGACGGAAAGCGACCAACGATGCAGCTGGCGAAAGCAGGAGGAGCTCCTCAGAGACGATGACTGACGCCTTTGCCACTCAAAACCTCACCAGAGAACAGAGGCAAACTCACAGACAGTCGGCCAATAAAAAGTCCTTGATGAAACACACACGCAACTCGCAGCTGCTCAGCTCACGCGCCCATCGGTCCGTACGTGGTGCGTGCTTGAGCGTACACCTGTCTGTCTTCCCTCGTTGGAACCTCTCGGCTTGACTTAGCGGGGGTCCTGATAAACGGAGGGATCCACACACAGTCGCAGCATCGATTTCCCACGGGTGTCGTGTGTGCCCGCCCTGCCACTGACCGGCGTCATTCTGATGTAGTTCTTGCCAGACGGCACGTCGACCTTCTCAAAACCCTTGGCCAGCTTGGTCTTTGCGTCATCGTCAGTGAGCGAGGGCACCACCATGCACTTGCTGCCGTTCTGCCAGCCCTCGGGAGTCGCCACGGGGAACTTGGACGTCAGCTGACACACACACACACACACACACCGACCGAAGATCTGTGACTGTCCTCTGTGTGTGAGTGTGTGAGAGAGAGGGTACCTGCAGGGAGTCGAGCACACGGAGCAGCTCGGAGAAGTCACGTCCAGTGGTGGCGGGATACAGCACCTGGGCCTGACGACCACCAAAGAGAGAGACCAGGGGAAAGGCCAGAGGAGCTCGTGTTGCCGCGATGTGTTCGCCCTATCTATCCGCCCACCCACCTGCCCACCGACCCACCCACGTACCTTGAGCTTCCTGTCCGGGGAGACGTAGAAGACGGATCGGCAGGTGAGAGGCAGCCCCTGCTTGTCCTTCTCCTCGGGATCCATGATGCCTGCTCGCCACACCGACGTGAGTTGATTTGACTTCAGGTACGTTACGGGTCGATGTGATTCGGTGGCTGTTGTGGATGTACCTACCCAGTCCCGTTGCGATGGCGCGTGTGGGGTCAGCGATGATGGGGAAGGGCATGTCGCCGCTCATGCCCTGCACCGAGATGATGTCCTTCGACCAACCCTGAACACACACAACCGGCCGCACACACCACATGAGCTGACTCATGTCGTTTCCCTGGAGCTGACACACGAGTGCACACCACAGACCTCGTGGGAGTCCTTGTCGTTGCACGAGATGGCGCACAGCTTGCAGTTGCGCTTCGCGAATTCCTCGGCGAGTTTGGCGGCCTTGCCCAGCTCAGTGGTGCACACGGGCGTGTAGTCGGCAGGGTGCGAGAACAGGATGCCCCAGCCGTCCCCCCAGTACTTGTACAGATCAAACTCGCCTGCACACACACACAGGCAGAGAGATCTTTCCATCCGCTGTGGTCCTTACGCCCCCCTCACCCCTCACCATTTGGCACGCCAGATGCTTGGGCCTGGAAGTTGGGGAAGACGTCGCCTGCAACACACACACACACACACACACACACACACGGCAGGCGGGGCAAGAGGGCGCATGACAGACACACCCCAGACAGGCACTCATCGTCATGATACGAGAGCTCCCTACCGAGGTTGAATCCCATTTTCTTCTTGGCTGTTGCAGGTGCGGTGGTGTCAGCGGTGGCGGGAGCCTCTTCCTTGGTGGCGGCGGGGGGTGCAACTTCCTCGGGCTCGCCTCTGAAACACTGAGCCACACCACAAGACAGAGAGGAGCAAGAGAACTGAGAGATCTCTCCTAACGCCCATCACCCCAACCAATCCTTACGCGCTCGCACGATTTGAACATACAAAGACGCCCTTGTGCCTTTCTTCCCGATTTGTTGTTGCGAGCTTGCCAATGGAGTCTCGCCCCCACGCCCCCTCCTCACGTTCCAAACACGCATACACTCTCATAGCGCATGTGACAGAGATTCAATCATGCCGAGCAAACACGTTCGTGTAGTGGTGCGCACTCGCCCCACCGGACGCTTTGCAGAGCAGACATTCCGCATCCACGAGGACACCAATGTGGGCGACAGGCAGACAAACAAACGCAGCAGGTCGCTTGTATTTTGCCGCCTGTGTGTGTTTGGTGTCATTTGATTGGTCCAGGCGATTGACGTCAAGCTGCCTAAGAGCGATGTTGGGGGAACGGTCAACAACCAAGTGGACAGCTTCTCGTTCAAGTTTGACCGGGTCCTCCACAACGCCTCACAGGTGAGAGGCTCAGCTTGCTTGTTCTCAGGTGCGTGATGCTGCTTGCTTGTTTGTTTGTTTCTTTGCTTGTGTATGGTGTGTGGTGTGTGGTGTGGAGTGCAGGAGAGGGTGTTTGATGAGTTTGCGAGGGAGCTGCTGGGCACTGGCGGCACCGGTGTGCTCGACGGCTTCAATGGCACCTGCATGGCATACGGACAGACAGGGGCTGGTCAGCCAGTCACTGAGTGAGACAGAGTCTGTGTGCAAGGTATGTCTCATCGTTGCAGGCAAGACCTTCACCATGGTGGGGGGCCCCGCCAACTTCGCATACCGCGGCATCATCCCCCGCTGCATCACCGCCCTCTTCACCGCAATCGCCGCACGCCCAGAATGCGCCATCACCGTCCGACTGGGCGCCCTCGAGATCTACAACGAGCTCATGATGGACCTCCTCCCCTACCCCTCTGCCGGCGACACTGCGGCCGATCAGCAGATCCAGGAGGACAGCAAGGGCGGTGTGAGCGTCAAGGGCCTGACGAGAAGGGTAGCATTGACAGAGGAGGAGTGTCTCCAGGCTTTCTTCGAGGCCGACGCGGCGCGGGCGGTGTCGGAGCATTCGTTGAACGTGCTGTCGAGCCGGAGTCACTTTGTGGTGACCCTGTTTGTGGAGAGCCGGTCGCGAGTGGAGTCGAATGAGAGGGTGGTCTATTCCAAGATCCATCTGGTGGACCTCGCTGGCAGCGAAAGATTGAAGAAGACGGGATCGTTCGGGGCGACGCTGAAAGAGGCGACATTCATCAACAAGAGCCTCACCTTTCTGGAGCAGGTGACTGATTTGTGAGTTGGGGGGCCACAGCACAGTCAGCCGTCATTTATTTGTGTGTGTTGGTGTAGGTGGTTGTCGCTCTCTCGGACAAGCGTCGCGACCATGTGCCCTACCGCTCGTCGAAGCTCACCCACCTGCTGAAAGACTCGATTGGTGGCAACTGCCGCACCATGATGATCGCCAACATCTGGCCGGAGGGGTCGCACGTCGAGGAGACAGTGAGTACGCTCCGGTTTGCCACACGCATGATGCGTGTCTCGAACGAGGCGACGCAAAACATCCAGCTGGACAGCCAGCAGCTCATCCGCAAGTACGAGAGAGAAATCAGGGATCTCAAGCAGGAGCTCGCCATGCACGACATCCTCAGCGGACGCAGCCAGATGGTATTTTCTGGATAGGTCATTGCGTGTGGAGGGCGGATGGTCGTGTCTTATCTGTCTGTGTCTTGATGGTCCGTGCAGTCGTATGAGCCGTATACGCCCGAGGAGCAGCGCGAGATCGAGAAGGCCGCCGAGCAGTACTTTGAGGGCGAAGTGGCAGACGTGGATATCACGTCCATCAAGTATGCGTGTTACAGATCAACCAACAACACCCATCCAGATCATTCTGCCCCGTCTCCCCTTTCCCTTTCTCCTTCCTTCCCATAGGCAGGTTCGTGAGCTATTCCAGTCGATGCGTCGGCTCTACCAGAACCAGCAGCAGGCACTCCAGTCCAGACCAGCACGCGCACACCCCTCACAGGCGCCAGGAGCAGGTGCCGAGGGTGATGTAGCCGAGGGCGGTCAGCCGGCAGCCGAGGGCGCGGGGGGTGCGGATGAGGGTGTGGGCGATGAGGAGGCGGCTGCGGGGTTGTCTGTGGGTGTGGCCGCCGACCAGTCCAAGAGAGCCAAAGGGGCGGGGCTGGAGGGAGGGGCAATCGACCAGGAAGCAAGGTAGGAGATCTGGACAGAGACATGGAATCCGATCATTTCTCGTTTGCCTCAGGGCGGCGGGCAAGCGTCGCAGCCCTGATGGTGTTGCTGGTGAGCAGAGGGGGGACGCGCAGGCCGGCCCCGCCCCGCCGGACCGGCAGACGGCCTTTACTGACTTCAAGGCCAGCACAGAGGAGGGGCAACAGCTGGAGGCGGCGTTCAACCAGAACAAGATCGATCAGCGGACCAAGAAACAAGAGCTCAGGACAGTCGCTGAGGTGAGAGAAAGACAGACAAGAAAATACAAACACCACTACTGTGGCTATACTGGATGTGTGCAGGAGATAAGCCGTGTGAAGGTTTCAATGGAGGAGGTGAAAGAAATGGTCCAGAAGAAACAGAGGGAGCGCAGCGCAGAGGGCGCAAAGGTGGGTGGCCACATATATGTCTCACATGCATGCCTTCAGCCCATCCACATGGCTCATGCAATCAACGACATGCAGGTGGGCGGCGATTCGTCGGTGTCTCTGATCGACGAGGAAGAGTACGCCCTCATCAAGCGCCTGAAAGACCTCAAGAAGCAGTATCGCGAGCAGTTCGACGCCCACAAGGAGCTCAAGGCACACCTGCTCCAGATCGACCACAACATTCAGAAGTGCAAGACACAGTTGCTGCAGGCCTTCGAGCGATGGTAATGCACTCAGTGCATGCCCTCCCACCCCTCTGCCCAATCCCACCAACATGATCGATGGCCTGTGGCCCCAGGTATGAGGAGAAGTACGGCCAATTGGTGAGTGGTGCTGACGCGGTCGCCTCAGCGGCCAAGACCCTCTCATCGTCCACCAGAGGGCCGGAGGGGGACGACCTCGACGAAAACGAACAGGTAAGGCGGACGGAGTGCCTGCAGTGCATGGAGGTGCATTGTTGTGGGTGCATTCATTGTGTTTGTGCAGTTTGATATGATGGAGGCGTCTCGGCTGGAGACACAGCACCCCGATGCCCTCGCCTTCTACAACGCCAAGTAGGGAAGAGAGCCTTCCACTGAGTACATCCACTTCTATGTCATGCACTCGTTGTGTGTGCATTCGATCCGTCCGTGCAGGCGCAAGACGTCTCCCCGGCGGACGGCCGGGAGGTCGCCGGGGCCATCGCCGCGAAGACACTGACTACCCGACCGACCGTGAGCATACCGGTGACTCACTGGTGTGTATTCTATGCCGTGTGTGTGCATCCGAGGGGACGGGGTGTGGGGACTCTTTGTCGGTTGGATTGACTCAAGGCACCTTGGTTGATGCGGCACACAAACTGTCCCTCTGTCTGTCTGTCCGTTTGTGTTCACCACACATAAGGGAATCTGGCCATGCCATTGCACATAGCACAGCGCAGCACGCAGCACGCGACACACGAGTGAGCAAGCCGAGGAAGCAGACAGGCAGGCGACATCCAGGAAGGCACGAATCGGATGCACGCACATCGTCGACCATTCATTCATCATTCGGGAGTGAGCACGAAGAGAGCCACGACACACTGGGGGACACATACATACACGGATGGATGTGAGTGCGTGTGTATGGTGACTGACTGCAACAATCGTATTAGAGTAGCGATCGGCAAGAGCACACAACACACAGAGAGAGAAACAGACAGAGAGAGATACATATGGACTATGGACGCACTCGTGGACCAGCACAAAGGAGCGATACACTACACAGGCAGAGGAGAGACACACCGAGAGACGCAGAGACAGGAGGGGACGTTGCGGGGAGCAACCGTGCAACCATGCAGTATTCACAACCCCCCTCCCCCCCCAACACATACACACACACACACACACACACACAGGCAGAGGTGAGCTCTTTCCCGAGGTATATAAATGCAAAACACAGCCGCCTCCGGCTCTCTCTCTCTCTCTGGTTGTCTGTCTGTCTGTCTGTCTTGAGGGCCAACTCCTCGCTGCCCGCGTGTGCCGTGCAGGAGGGGGAGGGGTCAAGGGTTCAAGGGGAGGGGGCTGCGTGTGCTTGTGAGTAGATAGACCGGATACACACACCCACCAGAGTGCAGGGTGGGTGTCGTGTACACCATGACGCACAGACAGACAAGACGGACGCGCACACGCAGGGGGCGAGGAGACAGACCGATCTCATCCAGATTGGCCAGACAGACAGTGCCATGCAGTGCTTGTTGTCACTTCTCAATTAGCAGCCAACAAATCCGCAGCCACCACGCGTGGCTCGTTGCTTCATCCATCCATCCATCAAACCTTTGAGCGTCACTCACCATCCATCCATCCATCCATGGAGCAAAAGCGGCACCGACACACACCCAGACGGACACGCGAGAGGCAGTAGTCTGTCCATCCATGCATCCATCCATCCATCTGCGTCGTGCATGCAGCGCATGTCATGTAAGTGTAAGAACACGCAGCACGCAGCCCTTGAAAACTGACGGCGGTGGCCACAGGCGGAACAGAGAGCCACATTGCCCTCATCCATCTCATGGGGTCACTTCACACATCGCATGGATGTGTGTGATCATGATGCCGCCCGCCGGTGTGCCATCACTCTCCCCCTTCCAAATCACGCAAAAATGCTTTTGCAATTCGCCAATCCGCCCCC